GGCTAAATAATATTCTATTGTATATTTGTACCACTTATTTTTTATCCATTTATCTACTGATGAACACTTAGGGTGCTTTCAGATCTTTGCTATTTTAAATAATGCTGCAGTGAACATATGGATGCACTCATCTTTTCAAATTAGTGTTTTGGGTTTCTTCAGATAAATACCAAGAAGTAGTCCATTTTGTCCGATATAAATATTGGTACCCCAGATTTTTTTTTCATTTCCATTGTCATGAAATATTTTTTCCATCCCTTTACTTTCAGTCTATGTGTGTCTTTCCGTCTGAAGTGAGTCTTGTAGGCAGCATGTGTTAAGGATCTTGTTCTCTTATCAATTCAGCCACCCTATGTCTTTTGATTGGAACATTTAATCCATTTACATTTAAAGTAATTGATAGATATGTAGTTACCGCCATTTTATTATTCATATTTTTATCTTTTTCCTATTTCTTTAAGAAGTCCCTTTACCATTTTTTAAATAAAAGCTAAACCACTTCAGCTTTTTATTGTCTGGGATGCTTTTTGTCTGCCCTTTGATTCTAAATGATAGCCTTGCTGAGTAATCTTTGTTGTAGGTCCTTGCTTTTCATCACTTTGACTATTTTGTGCAAGTCCCTTTTACCCTTCAGAGTTTCTGTTGAGAAATCAGCTGACAGTCTTATGGGAGCTCCCTTTTAGGTAACTACGTTTCTCTGCTGCCTTTAAGAGTCTCTTTGTCTTTAAACTTTTGCATTTTACTATGATGTGTCTTGGTGTGGGCCTCTTCGGTTTCATCTTATGTGGGATTCTCTGTGCTCCCTGGAATTGTGTGTCTGTTTTCTTTACTAGGTTAGGGAAGTTTTCCATTATTATTTTTCCAAATAGGTTTTTAGTTCCTTGCTCTCTCTCTCCTTCTTTCGGTATCCTTATTATGTGAATGTTGGTATCCTTGATGTTGTCCCAGGGGTCCCTTAAACTATCCTCATTTTTTTAGATTCTTTTTTCTTTTTTGCTATTCTGATTGTTTTCCTCTGCTTCATCTAACCCAGGGGTGTCAAACTCATTTTCACCGGGGACCACATCAGCCTCGAAGTTGCCTTCAAAAGGCTGAATGTAATTTTAGGATTGTATAAATGTAACTACTTAACAGTTAAGTGCGAGCTTGGTGCTGCCACTGGTTAGAAACAAGGTGCTGGGCCAGATAAAACAAGATGGAGGGCTGGATTCAGCCCAAGGGCCTTGTGTTTGCCACCTGTGATCTAATCTGTTAATTCCCTATAATGTATTCTTTATTTCAGTTATTGTGTTCTTCATTTTTGACTGGTTCCTTTTTTAATTTTTTCTATTTCTTTGTTAAAGTTCTCACTGACTTCATTGAGCATCCTTATAACCAGTGTTTTGAACTCTGCATCTGGTAGAAAGTTTGTCTCCATTTTGTTTAGTTCTTTTTTATGGAGTTTTGTCCTGTTCTTTCATTTGACCGTGTTTCTTTGTCTCCTCGTTGTAGCTGTCTTCCTGTGTTTGTTCCTATGTATTAGGTAAAGCTGCTGCATTTCCCAGTTTTGGTAGAGTAACCTTATGTAGTAGTTGTCCCTTGGGGCCCAGTGGCACAGTCCCTGGTCACCTGAGCTGAGTGCACCAGAGCTGTGCCTTGTATGGGTTATGCATTTTCTCCTATCATAGTTGAACCTTATTTGCTCTTGGGACATCAGTGGGAGGGATTGACTCTCAGGCTTATTGATTGTGAAGACTGGCCATGATGACTACAATGGGGGAGCTATTGTGCAAAGTATGAACCTACAGGGCAAGATTCACTTTAGTGGGGCTCTGGTGACTGCTGAGTCTTCTCTTTGGGTGTGTCATTTGTGGAGGTAGTTGGTGGAGCTCTGGGGTGATTTGAAGCTGTCTACCAGGTGTGTTGGTTTTGGAGCCTCATGGAAGAGGCGCTGGTGCAGATCAAGGTCATCTACTGCCTGTGCCCTGCTCAGGACCACTTGTTATGAGCTACACTTATGCAGACGGTTGACTCTTGTGCCAGGACTGGAGGTACCTGGGAGAGACTAAGCCATGACCTGAGTCCAGCTGCTGCTTGGGGCTGCTTAGCAAGAGGTACTCAGCACACCAAGGCCAGGTGCTGCTTGTTTGGGGTTTGTGAACCTTTGAGAGATTTTAGAAAAATCTGCAACATGAGCCAAGAAAGATTGTATGAAAAAGCTATGCAATCAGCTTGGGTAGGCCTGAAAGTTGGGTTCGACAGAGTCTCAGAGAATTATTAGTATGGGGTGAATGGTGTTAGCTGGTTTGATGGAGGCTCATATATGGCTATGTGGGTAGAGTGCTCAACAAAGGAACAATGGCCTCTGTTGGGGAGAAAGGTGCTTCTCCAACCCACATCCTGAAGCCAGACAATTCAGTTCTTTCCCATATGTTCCTGGTGCCTTTCAAAGTACTTCCCCAGCACTGGAGCTTAGAGTGAGTCCATCAACAATAAGTCCATGTGCATGCCCTTTAAGAAAAATGCCTGAGGCTCCAGCAACCCACCAGCTCACTCAGCTAAAATCTTGGCTGGTTTTCACAGCCAAAAGTTATAGGAACTTCTTTTCCAAGAACTGGAAACCTGGACTGGGGAGCCTGGTGTGGGGCTGGTTCCCCTTGCTCCTCAAAGGGGCTTCCTACGCCCAGATATCACTCCTGATTTTTAACCCACACACGTGGGTGTGTAAGCAACCCATTCAGCATCTCTGCCTTTCCTACCAGTCCCAATGGGATTTCCTTGGTATGTCCTTAGTTACAGAACTTCTGTTCAGCTAGACTTTAGGCAGTTTCCGGTGATGATTGTTGTGCAGTTTAGTTGTAATTTTGTTGTGGTCATGGAAGGAGGCAAGCACAGCAGTTACCTACTATGCCATACTGACTAGAAGCTTCCAAGTTTTCTTCTAATTGCTTTGATTTCTTTAGGTCTTCAACTGACAGTATCTGAGAAAGGGGGAAAGGAAATGACCTAGGGCAGTGGTCCCCAACCTTTCTGGCACCAGGAACCAGTTTAGTAGAAGACAATTTTGCCATGTATGGTGGGGGGTTGGTTTGGGGATGATTCAAAGAGCATTATATCCAAGATTACCACCTGATGTGTGGCCCAGTTCTTAACATGCCTGCACTGTACTGGTCCACAGCCTGGAGGTTGGGGACCCCTGGACAAGGGAAATAAAAAGGAATGAGAGTTGTGGAAGACCACATAGTTCAAGAAAAATACCTGGGCTGCTTTGCATATTTATATTACCTGCTTGACCCTTGAAGTTGTGATTAAGATCCTGATTATACATTTTCTGTTTTGTAGAATTACTTCTCTTTTATCTTTCAACTGCTTTTTGGGTGAGAAATAAAAAATAGCTGTTACTTTGGACAAGGTTAAGTATCTATTTTGTCTTAATGAAAGGCTTAGTAAACAATAGAGGTGAACAGAATGGAGAACCCAGAAATAAACCCAAGTCTCTATGGTCAGTTAATATTCAACAAAGGAGGAAGCAGCATAAAATGGATCAAACATAGACTCTTCAACAAATGGTGCTGGCAGAGCTGGACAGCTACATGCAGAAAGATGAAACTCGAGCACCAACTTACACCACACACAAAAATAAATTCAAGGTGGATAAAAGATTTAAACACAGGTCGTGACACTGAAAAAGTCCTATAGGGGAACACAGGCAGGAAAATCTCCGATATTCCACGCAGGAACATTTTCACTGATATATCCCCTAGAGCAAGGGACATTAAAAAAAAAAGAATAAAAAAATAGGATGTCATCAAAATAAAAAGCTTCTACACAGCTAAAGAAAACAGCATTAAAATGAAAAGAGAACCAACTGTATGGGAAAACATATTTGCTAATGATACCCTCAGACAATGGTTTGATTTCCAAAATATATAAAGAATTCACATGACTCCACTCTAAGAAGACAAGCAACCTAATTAAAAAATGGGCAAAGGACTTGAACAGACATTTCTCCAAGGAGGACATACAGAGGATCCAGAGACACATGAAAAGATGCTCAGTATCTCTAGCTATTAGAGAGATGCAAATTGAAACCACAATGAGATACCACTTCACACTGGTCAGAATGGCCATCATAAACAAAGCAATAAACAACAAGTGTTGGAGAGGTTGTGGAGAAAAGGGAACCCTAGCTCACTGTTGGTGGGATTGCAGACTGGTACAACCACTATGGAAAACAGTATGGAATTTCCTCAGAAAACTAAAAATGGATCTGCCTTTTGACCCAGCAATTCCAAGGCTAGGGTCATATCCTAAGAACCCTGAAACACCAATCCAAAAGAACCTATGCACCCAATGTTCATTGCAGCACAATTTACAGTGGCCAAGTGCTGGAAGCAACCTAGGTGCCCATCAGTAAATGAATGGATCAAAAAACTATGGTACATTTACACAATGGAATTCTATGCAGCAGAAAGAAAGAAGGAGCTCCTACCCTTTGCAACAGCATGGATGGAACTGGAGAGCATTATGCTAAGCAAAATAAGCCAGACAATGAAAGACAAATACCATATGATATCACCTTTAACAGGAACCTAATCAACAAAACAAACAAACAAGCAAAATATAACCAAAGACACTAAAATTGAGGACAGGCTAACAGGGACCAGAGGAGAGAGGGGAGGGGATAATGGGGGAAAAGGGTGAAGGCTTTGCAGGAATAAATATAAAGGACACATGGACAATTACAAAGAGGGGTGATGGGAACAGGGGAAAGAAGCGGAGAGGGCTGGAGTGGTGGGGAGGGGTTGGGTGGAAAAGGAAGAAAACTACTTGAACAATAAATAATAAAATAAAACAATAAAGGATTTTTTAAAAATGGTCTTCTACCTCCAGATATATCCAGTTTCTCAGCTGTATTTGTTATTATTAACTGATGTGTCAAAAATCAAAGAATAACACTTTGATATTCTGGATTTCTTTCATTTTTAGAAAATATAATATCACAAATTTTTTTCTTTTAGATGTTCTTAATAGTTGCTCCTCTTTCTGTCCTCTACAACTGGAGGGATGAATTGGACACCTGGGGATATTTCAGAGTCACTGTTTTACATGGTAATAAAAAAGACAATGAACTGATTCGTGTAAAGCAGAGGAAATGCGAAATTGCTCTAACAACTTATGAAACACTTCGCTTATGTCTGGATGAACTTAACAGGTAATGGCAATGGAAATGATTGCATTATTATTCTGCTTACATCAATTGTATTTATCCCTTTATATTTTAATGTTTTAAAAGCTGTAAATATTCTTTGGCATGATTTATTTTTAAGTGTATTTTATTGAATATGCTATTAAGTTGTCTCATTTTTTTCTCCCCTTTATGCCCCTCTGCCCTGCACCCCCCTTCCCACCAGCATTCCCCCCCCCCCCCCGGAGTTCATATCCATGGGTCATACACATAAGTTCTTTGACTTCTCCCTTTCCTATACTATTCTTAACCTCGCTTTGTCTATTTTGCACCTACCATTTATGCTCTTATTCCCTATACCTTTTCCCCCATTCTTCCCCCTTCCTCTCCCCACCAATAACCCTCCATGTGATCTCCATTTCTGTGATTCTGTTACTGTTCTAGTTGCTTGCTTAGTTTGATTTTGTTTTTGTATTTTAGGTTCAGTTATTGATAGTTGTGAGTTTGTTGTAATTTTCTGTTCATAGTTTGATCTTCTTTTTCTTAGATAAGTCCCTTTAACATTTCATAGAATAAGGGCTTGGTGATGATGAACTCCTTGATGACCTTATCTGGAAAGCATTTTATCTGCCCTTCCATTCTAAGTGATAGTTTTGATGGATAGAATAATCTTACATGTAGGTCCTTGCCTTTCAAAACTTTGAATATTTCTTGCCAGCCTCTTGTTGCCTGCAAGGTTTCTTTTGAGAAATCAGCTGATAAACTTTTAAATCATTGGTAACTTAATTATGATGTGTCTTGGTGTGTTTCCTTTTGGTTCCAATTTCTTTGGGACTCTCCAAGCTTCCTGGACTTCCTGGAAGTCTGTTTCCTTCACCAGATTGGGGAAGTTCTCCTTCATTATGTTTTTCGAATAAGTTTTCAATTTCTTACTCTTACTGTTCTTCTGGCACCCCTATGATGCAGATATTGGAGCGTTTAAAACTGTGCCTTGGGACAGTTTTGGGTAAAACAACCTTGGGTTGCATGGTTTCTTTTGCTCCCCAGTTGTTCCTCTCAGAGGTTCCTAAACCTCTCCTCATTTTTTTTTTGAATTCTTGTTTCTTCATTCTGTGCTGGTTGATTGTTTATTTCTTCCTTATGTTCAAAATTGTTGATTTGATTCTCAGTTTCTTTCCCTTCACTATTGGTTCCCTTTATATTTTTCTTTATTTCACTTTGCTTAGCCTTCACTACTTCCTCTATATTGTGTCTGTACTCAATCATTTCTGTGAGCATCCTGATTACCAGTGGTTTGAACTCTGTACCTGATTGGTTGGCTATCTCCTTATCGCTTAGTTCTTTTTCTGGAATTTTTATCTGTTCTTTCATTTGGGCAATATTTCTTTGTCTTGGTGCACCTGTTATGTGGTAAGGGGTGGAGCCTTAGGTATTCTCTAGGGTGGGGCAAGCCACTGGGCTGTGTCATGGCACTATATGTTGGGGAGGGGTCAGAAAGGAATCAGTGCCTCTTGCTCAGCTCTTACCTGGTTTCAGTCACTTCTCCTCCTACTCACAAGCAAAATGAGCCCTTCTGGTGCTGATTCCCGGATGGGTAGGTTTGTGTACATTCTAGGACTCCATAGGTCTCTCCAGCAAACTCTCCTATGAGGCTGGGAGTTTCTGCTGCTACCCCTACAGGTTTTTACAGCCAGAGGTTTTGAGGTTTTAGCTTCCCACACTGGAACCTTGGGTTGCATGGTTTCTTTTGCTCCCCAGTTGTTCCTCTCAGCTTATCCACACTTGAATATGGACCTCCTGGTTTGCCAGCCATTGCCTTGCCCACCCAATCCTCCAGCAACGACCTTGTTGAGTGTCCTCTCTGCCCCAACTGCCCATCTCTGCCCTTCCTACCAGTCTGGATGAATGTTTCTTCTTTAACTCTTTGTTTTTCTGACTTCTATACAGTTCAATTTCCTGGCAGTTCTGGTTGGTTTTTGTTTTTAAATTGGTGATTGTCTTTCTTTTGGTTGTGTGAGGAAGCAGAGCGTATCTACCTATGCCTCCGTCTTCTCTTTGGCATGATTTAATTTCCTTTCAGTAGTATTGATATTGACAATCTATAATAATTAAATTATTTTCTAAGGAAAAAAAAAGCTGCATCAGGCCTACCAGTTTCTTATTCTATTTCCTCTATTACCTCTCCAAGTGCCTGTTAAAGAATGGTAAGTAAGACTTATTCTAAATCTCATACACAACCTTTTATGCATATGGTGCCTGAAGACTAACACATTCATTTCCATGAATGATTTAAATTAGGTGAGTCTGTTGTGAATGAAGAGTAGCAAAAATGCATATGTATATTGAAAAGCACTGCTTCAGTTTCCCTATATCCTTGTCAACACTTGATATTGTCAATCATTTTTTATTATAACCATTCAAATGGCTATCTAATGACTGTTGATGTTGATACCATTTTCATGTGCTTATTTGACATTTGTATAATATTGTTGGTGAAATATCTATAAAAATCTCCACTCAGCTTTTAAATTGAATTGTTTTAGCTTATGTTGAGTTGTAATAGTTTTTTATAATTTCTATATACAAGTTCTTTACCAGGTTGTGATTTGTAACTGTTTTCTCCCAACCTGTATCATGTTTTGTCATTTTCTTACTGGTGTCTTTAAGACCAAAAGCAAAAGTTTTTCTTTGATGAAATCCAACTTACCAACATATCTAAGAAATCTATGCCTAACCCAGAGTCACAAGATTTTTTCTTACATTTTAGGTCTTATATTTAGTTCTGTGATCTCTTTTGAGTTAATTTTTGTGTAAGGTATGAGATATGGGAGTACAAAAAATACCTTCCCTCCGACCTGCTAAATTCTTCTAGCTGGGTTAATACTGAAATTGACATGAGATATATCAATAAGAGAAAATGTCCAAAATTTATGGATGTACATTTGGAGATACCATAAAATATGAAAACTGAAGACACATTGGGCAGTAGAGGTTTATATGTCATTTTCCACAAAGGAGAAGGAAGGCAGGGGTTTGGGATTTCAAAGGGAAATTAGGCTATTTACAAATAGATGGGAAAGAGCAAGCATGGTAAACCAACTTTTGCTGGGCCACCCAGAAACAATGGGTCACAAAAGGGAATTTGGCAAACAAAATTTTGTTGCATCCTCCCTGTTTGTCACATTAGACTCATTTGTGCTAAGGTGAATATCTAAGGTTCCCTTCCTGAAGTAGGTTTTCCATCAGATTCCTTTTGTTTCTTAATAACCAGATTAAAATCTATATCCTAAAGGTATACTTCAGGGTGGCAAAATTTTGACTCCCCTCAGAGATAAGAGTCTAAATTTTTTTCTTTCATAGAACTTCCTGGATTTTTACTTACTCAATGTTTTATATTCAGTCATAGTTATTCTTTGTGCACAGTCTGGCACTCATCCACTAAGCCACACCACCCAGGGCACTGTTCATTCTTTTTTTCTTTTTTAATTATTATTTTATTTTAATTGTTCAAGTACAGTTTTCTTCCTTTTACTCCCATCCCAGCCCACCCCCTCAGCCCTCCTCACCACCCTCCCGTTTCAACACCCTCCTTGTTTTTCTCCATGTGTCCTTTATACTTGTTGCTGTAAAACCTTCCCTTTTTCCTCTGAAATTCTCTCCCTTCTCCCCTCTGGTCACTGTCAGCCCGTCCTCTATTTCAGTGTCTCTGGTTATATTTTGCTTGTTTCTTTGTTTTGTTGTTCAGGTTCCTGTTAAAGGTGAGATCATATGGTATTTGTCTTTCATTGTCTGGCTTATTTTGCTTAGCATAATGCTCTCCAGTTCCATCCATGCTGTTGCAAAGGGTAGGAGCTCCTTCTTTCTTTCTGCTGCATAGAATTCCATTGTGTAAATGTACCATAGTTTTTTGATCCATTCATTTACTGATGGGCACCTAGGTTGCTTCCAGCACTTGGCCACTGTAAATTGTGCTGCAATGAACATTGGGTGCATAGGTTCTTTTGGATTGGTGTTTCAGGGTTCTTAGGATATGACCCTAGCCTTGGAATTGCTGGGTCAAAAGGCAGATCCATTTTTAGTTTTCTGAGGAAATTCCATACTGTTTTCCATAGTGGTTGTACCAGTCTGCAATCCCACCAACAGTGAGCTAGGGTTCCCTTTTCTCCACAACCTCTCCAACACTTGTTGTTTATTGCTTTGTTTATGATGGCCATTCTGACCAGTGTGAAGTGGTATCTCATTGTGGTTTCAATTTGCATCTCTCTAATAGCTAGAGATACTGAGCATCTTTTCATGTGTCTCTGGATCCTCTGTATGTCCTCCTTGGAGAAATGTCTGTTCAAGTCCTTTGCCCATTTTTTAATTAGGTTGCTTGTCTTCTTAGAGTGGAGTCATGTGAATTCTTTATATATTTTGGAAATCAAACCATTGTCTGAGGTATCATTAGCAAATATGTTTTCCCATACAGTTGGTTCTCTTTTCATTTTAATGCTGTTTTCTTTAGCTGTGTAGAAGCTTTTTATTTTGATGACATCCTATTTTTTTATTCTTTTTTTTTTAATGTCCCTTGCTCTAGGGGATATATCAGTGAAAATGTTCCTGCGTGGAATATCGGAGATTTTCCTGCCTGTGTTCCCCTATAGGACTCTTTCAGTGTCACGACCTGTGTTTAAATCTTTTATCCACCTTGAATTTATTTTTGTGTGTGGTGTAAGTTGGTGCTCGAGTTTCGTCTTTCTGCATGTGGCTGTCCAGCTCTGCCAACACCATTTGTTGAAGAGTCTATGTTTGCTCCATTTTATGCTGCTTCCTCCTTTGTTGAATATTAACTGACCATAGAGACTTGGGTTTATTTCTGGGCTCTCTGTTATATTCCATTGGTTTATGTGCCTATTTTTATGCCAGTACCAGGCTTTTTGATTACAGTGGCCTTGTAATACAGTTTGGTATCAGATATTGTGATCTCTCCTACTTTGTTCTTCTTTCTCAAAATTGCAGCAGCTATTCGGAGTCATTTATGGCTCCAT